TTGAGGTTTTGTGAAGCAGAATTTAGTCTTCTTTTAATTGCTGGATCTTTAGTGATTTGCCGTTGTTTTCTTAATTTGTGTTTTGCTGTCACCTTTTCCCTTATTAGTTGTGAGATATTTGTTTTTATATTGCTTAATTTCTGGTGGAATACCATGCAGCTGGTGAATGGTCATATGATAGATCATGTGAACCGTAGGTACGAATGTAACTTTGGTTTACTCCCGTTACAATAAAGAAATCTAAAACATCAGGAATTTTGTTAATGTCAGACGGCCAATAAGTGGGTTGTCCAGAAGAGTAAGTGGATAATCTTTCGTTTATTATAGATTCATATAGAGATTTCCCTTTTGGAGGTGTTAGTCTGGAGCCTCACAAAGGATGCTTAGAATTGTAGTCACCACCAGAAATAAATCTTGCTCCAAGTGTTTTGAAGAAACTTGTGAACTGTGAATTCTGAATTTTATGTTTTGGAGGGCAGTATATATCTGCAATATTCAATGTTCCGAATGCATCGCTTACTTGAATGGATGTTGCCTGCAAATACATGGTGCTATATTGACAATGTAAATGATGTTTAATTTTTTCCCGAACAATTATGGCTGTTCCTCCATGTGCTGTACCATCTGGATGGTTTGTGTAATATATGGTGTATCCTTGAAACGAGAAAAAGCTCTTATTAGAGAAATGAGTTTCTGAAATGAGCATTATATCTGTATTTGTTAACTGAAGAAAACACAACTTCATCTCGGTGTTGTAACAAGCCATTGGTTGAACAAATGCATAGTTTTGAAGGCTATACAAATTTAATAAAAGAATGTTATACAAATAATACGCCTAAAATTTTGAATAAAAGTTTCTCAGGAAGGGTCTTTCAAAAAATATAGTTATGTGAAGAAACAAAAGAAATGTTTCCAGGTATTAATAAATTAATTTTAAAATTGATTTTTTTAAATACCTTCATTTCATAGTATTGTAACGTCTTGCCAATGGGCCAGATGGACTACACATGTCGGAAGGCTGGCGAGGGAGCGGGGGCAGTCCCTTGGCGGCAAAGGGAAACCCACCAGAGACGGGCGTGGGCCGGGGTGGGCGTGTCTCGGAACGCGGGTGTCAACTGGCGCAGAGGGAGATGATGGGTGAGTCCAGCGCGGTGCAGTTGGCTCTGAATTGCGAACGGGCCCACGTTTCCGGGTGAGAGAGGACGTCGCCAGCATGGGAGGTCTGTCACGTGACCCATCGTGAGGTGGCTGGAGAATAACCAGCCGTGGTCATTCGTTGTCGAACAGCAGTGTGCGGAAGGCAGTTTTTCACCCGCCAGGGGTTATCGCGAGCTTCGGCTGCGAGGTGTGGCGGTTACCACGGGACGAGAGACCAGGCGCGGCGTCAAGCCGCTGGGGTCTGCGTCAGACTGGGGTGGGGATGCCTCAGAGATGCGCAGTGCTGGGAGTGCAGCGCTAGTTTCCCAGGAGTGTATATAGTGTATAAAAACTTGTGAATAAATCTGTATAAAACCACTCTGTGTCTGTGTGTTACTCGCACCCGACGACGCCACAGTATGTATTTATTTTGACACTCAGTCTGTTACTTTTATCCCATACCTCACCCAATGAACTTGCTCAAGGACAGCAATAATTGTCGATGCAGCATCTTTCAATCACGAGTTCCTCGGTATTGACTCTGAGGAGTCCCGACACTAGTTCTACAGATAAGTCGCATGCATCCGCAATCGGGATATTTTACTCGTAGTATTTCGTTGCTCTGATAGTTTCGTTTCCTGTGGTTTCTCCGAACAATAGCCGGTGAATGCTGGAATCGTATTATAAAAAAGGAATTCGAACCGAGCTAAACTTTTCCTTGCACTTTGTTGCCAGCTCTTTTCCTCTTTCACGTACACTAATATTCAGTTCGCTACCACACATTTAGTGAGACCAGTCGGGAGTTTAGAGTTGTTCACTGATGAGGCGTGCCTCATAGGCGGGGGCGAGGTAAACCCTCTTGGGCGGTTGCCCGAAGGGGGTATACTGGGAAGTAGTGTTGATCGTTGCCGAAAGTAAAAGTCATCAGGTTGGTCAGTACTGGATCTCAAGTTCCAAAGAAAGAAGAAACACCGTCACCTCTGCACTACAACATGAACCAACCTTACGGGGGTAATGACCGAACTAATTAACGCGCTCGGAAATATGAAACATACACTGATTAACTAATTGGGTCTTATCCGGGGTAAAAGAAATTTGAAGAATCAGGGATGATGATGTCAAGATTTGAAGATTATGTTGTGGCAATGGTAGAATCAAAGTCAGGGGAGACGAGAAAATCTGAAGTGAACGCTTTTTTCATTCCACATTCCAGATGTATCGATCGGAACTAAACTTCCGGTATCTAGAGACGGAAGATGAATGAACCGACCACAGCACTTAATTTATTCGTTCATCTTAATTTAACAAGAGTAAAAATATTTACACATTTACCAAGATTGTAAAACTAAGTGGTCAACATGATACAAGAAGCACTTTCCTTGGCGTTCACTATTCTCGGCAAAAACTATACATACTGTGCAGTTTCCTCATCCTCGCTGTCTTGTCAATGTCTATCTCTCTATCTCTTCCTCTCTCTCACTCTCTATCTACCTATCTATATATCTATCTCTTCCTCCCTCTCTCTAGTCCTCTCTCTCTTTTCCTCTCTAGTCCTCTCTCTTTTCCTTTCTAGTCCTTTCTAGTTCTCTCTCTTTTCCTCTACTCCTCTCTCTCTAGTTCTCTCTCTTTTCCTCTCTAGTTCTCTCTCTTTTCTTCTCTAGCCCTCTCTCTCTCTTTTCCTCTCTAGTGCTCTCTCTCTCTTCCTCTCTAGTACTCTCTCTCTCTTTTCCTCTCTAGTCCTCTCTCTTTTCCTCTGTAGTCCTCTCTCTCTCTTCGTCTGTAGTTCTCTCTCTCCCTCTCACCAGTTCTCTCTATGTAGTTTTCTCTCTCTAGTTCCCTCTCTCCTTACACAACCTTTCACTCTCCGCCGTCCGACGCCTCCACCCGCCTTTCACTTCCGCAGTATCGATAACCACCACTCGATCCCCTGGGCGCACGAGCGACGACGGCGGCGGCGGCGGCGTCGTCCTTCCGCTCGAACAAGAGCGAGAGAGCGCTTCCCGCGGCCACCAAAGAACGACGACCGACCGACGCTCTCTGCATCTCAAAGACGCGATTTATGAAAATTTCGGAAAACTTTCTCCCGACCGGGCTCAAAGAAACAAGCCCCTACGCTTCGTGATTCTTTACACAAATTTCGCGGCTCCAGAGCTCTGGTGCCGCCTGCTGCTGCTGCTGCCGCCGCCGCCGGGAACCGGAGGAGGCTGTAGAGGAGGGCTGGAGGGGAGGGATCTGAAGTTTTCCCCGTGAAAGAGCAGGAAATTTCAAAAGGAACGCGAGAACAGAAGGGAAATTCGACGGGAATAGGAGCGAATCTGCCCGACATCTACGGAGCAACTCCCGCAAGTTAACGCGAAACTCCGCTAAACAAGCGTTACTCCTGGATGCAGCTTTGCTTTGGCGACTTCCTTCAAAGCCTCGTTTGACTTGTGCGCTTGAACGCAAGCCCACAATATTGGTCTTTCAGCAAAGAGCTACTTTGCATGTTTCTGTGTTGTCTTTTTATGATGTAAATGAATTCGTATTGTCAAAATATATTGACCGCAGTTTTTACATGCTTTGATGGTAAATTCAAACTAAAACGTTTAATGGTAGTGTACCGACCACAAAGACCGACGCAATTTCTGTGCTCTCTTGCACGATAAAAACGTTTTGGAACAAATGATATTCTAACAAATACTCGAAGATTCTAAATGGTTTTTGGTATTACACAGATTTATAATTGCAAGTAGTAATGAATTCCTTATATACGAATAGTATGTATTGTGATAGCTGTGAAGGAAGGAAATACGACAGCGTAGCAACAAGTCATTCATCTGCCTTCTCACTGGTGTGTTTGCTCATTTACTCGTATTAGAAACGTCAGATTTTGAAAGCGTGAGTGTCAATAAAAAGGGTGAAAAATGAACATATGATAAAAATCATGGTGGTACCCCAAAGACGTTTTGGCAATGGAGCAATAATGCTTCTCTCCTCATTTTAAAACCCGCTTCTGGAGTTGTCTTGACACTTAATACAACTTCTCGGATTGTTGTTCTAATAAAAAATAATTATTGAATATTATTATTAATTATAATTGTTAATGATGCTGAAGAAATTCACAATGCTCTTTTAAAAAGAAAAAATTCTTTCATTGCCAACAAGTGTCTGTTCTATGTATAACGCAACACGTAAATGCGGCCTTTTCTTTGGAGCCTTGCTGACACATAATAGTAGACTCGTCAACAGTAAAACACAGCACACAAACAGTAAACAGTAAGAATTTGACATTATGATAATTTCGTCGTTGTACGTGAGATAAGAATGTGAAAAATAATAAGATATTTTTATTTTTCAGAAAAAATTGAATTTTTTATTATTTGTCTATTTTTCGACTGAGAATTTAACGAAACCATAGATACTTCTCACATGGACAAAAGTTATAAATCCGGAAGCATTCTAGCTTCCTTTCAATTTCTTGACGCAATGGAAATCAGTAATACAGATTATTAATAATAAAATTGCCCCTAGGATCGCTCATTGGCAGCATACGAGCTTCCCGCGGAAAGGGAATATGTTCGCCACGTGTTCTCTTTCCCTTCAAGAGAGAGACTTAAACAAAATCTAGGCATGTGGGACACCGTTTAGTGGGCGGCAATGTCGACCACTATAGCACAATACTTACAGATGCTGGAAATGTTGCCCCTTTCATTTGTTTCCCGATGATCTAGATACTACGATCATCAATGCAATTTTTAAATGGAGCCAATGATTCGTCTCGGTGCGGGAAGGGAGTTATCACGCGCACTGTACAATAATAAAATATCTCTAGTGATTGGCGTACGTGAAATGCGTATAACGCGCGTGTGTACGGTGTGTCGTAGACGAGGAGAGCCCCGAAGTGACGATGGACCCGGGCCCCGGCGAGGCGAGCAGCACGCACCGCCAGGTGGAGGTGGCGCTGGGCGGCGCGGTGCAGCTGCAGTGCCCGCTGGCGGCGCCGGCCAACGGCGGCGGCGCCAACGGGGCCAACGGAGGCGGCGGCGGCGGCGCCGCCGCCGCCGCGACGCCCGCGTGCTGGAGCCGCGTGGGCGCCGGCGGCGCGCTGGAGCCGTTGGCCGCCGGGCCGGAGCTCAGCCTGGAGCGCGTGCTGTACCAGGAGGCCGGTACTTTCCGCTGCGCCGCGCCCGCGCAGCCCGCGCCCTCCCCCGCGCTGCAGCAGTGGCGCAACCTGCTCGACGTCACCGTCTCCGTCTCCGGTGAGTCGCCTCACACGCCGTGCAATTTTTTTTCCAGTTCATTCGTAATAACATTCTATTACTTCTATTTATAACTACCATTATAAACTACTGACTTTGAACATGAATTGATTCATTGATTGTTAGTGATTCCAGGCGCATAAACTGGTAAGGTCGTTAGTCCCGTAAGTGCAGAGCATGTTATCTCTCTCTCACACACACACTCTCTTTCTTTCTTTCTTTCTTTCTTTCTTTCTTTCTTTCTTTCTTTCTTTCTTTCTTTCTTTCTCCCTTGGGAGATGGGGATCTTCACCGGCCGGCGAGATCCGGCGCCGATATACCGTTGAACGTGGAGTGCAGTAATTCTTCTTTAATTCAGTCATCGTCAGCCATAGTCAGTCATTGCCACTCATCCCTCCAGCCACGGCCTCGGCACCCTTAAGCGGAGGTCACAGTGAAGTTAATTTTCCCAAACGTTTCGTCACTACATTGTTTTTAATCCTAGTGAGCGCGAAAGACCCCTGCGAACGGCGTTTCAAAACTGACTTTCGGACGAAGATCTGTTTCGTTTGGGTTTGTTCGTCTGACGCCAGCCGACCGAAATTTTGGCCAAACTCGGCTCCATTAGGACCGCCGCCGATTTATATTCCTGCGGTTTTCAGACCTACACCCATCCAGGAAACGGCGATGTCTCGCGTTGCTTATAAAACCGTGACTTCATAGAACTTAGTTCAATCATTCGGCTAGCAACGACGGTGTGCAAGCACCGGAGTGCATTTCCAGGTGCAATCAGATGCACAGGGCAATATAAGATGTAATTCGATGGAGTAATATGGATTGAAATGTAACAGATGTAATGAGACGTAAAGTCAAGATTACATGTGTCAAAATTTGTATGCAGAGAGAGCATGTAGAGAAGCAGAAATTGATCAGTTTTTGTTAGTAACTCATCGTCGTAAATACCTTATAATCAAGTTACACTGTTTTGTTGTTTTTTTGCCTCCAAGAAACTGAATTGTTATAAAATCTCTTAGGAGATATCAAGATGGCAATTTTGTCTGTTTGTTAAATATATTGCCTGTTTGCTAATGGGAAGAATCATTATGTTTTAAAAGATACAACTATTGACTATCATTTTCACTGAAGGCATTAAGTGTTTTTGACAGCTCAGATGTTTCATATCGAGTGTTTACTCGAATAACCACATAACAAATACATAGGTAAGATACATCAAACTTTCAGACACTGTGCAATTGCTCAGTAAATTGTATATTAAGACAAATTTTTATTCCCAAAAACCCGCTATTCACTCCAGAGTAAAAAGTCGATATCACGTCGGAACCAAAAAACGTCACTTTTTTAACAGCAAGGTTAAAATACACCGAACGACAGGTCCGTAACCCTTCGAGAGGCGAGCTCGTTATTTAAGATCGCCATAAATCTCCGGCATTTCGAAATTTCTGCTGCATTAAAAGAACGAATAACGACACCGCTTGCTGTCGACTGCACGAGAATTCACGGCCAGGGGAGGAAGGTGCCAGTTGGCGGCCGTAGGTCCGCGGGTGGAGGGCGCCTAGGTGAGGCGCATCACAAACCAGCAAGGCGCAAGCGCTTGTGCAATGTGGAAGGGTCTAGGTAGTATTTTGCTTACATTTTCTTATTTATTGATTAATTTATTTTTATTCAATTTAGTTTTTATTCATAATTTATTTATTTTTATCAGCAGCAGCAGCAACATGTATTGGTCCAATCTAGCCTGTTCTTGCGATGTCTAGAGAAGACTATCTCTTATTTGGTCTTGCTACTTTTTCCATTTAGGGAAGTAGATAAATAGGCCTGATAGGGCAATTTCTCATAATCTATTTTTGTTATAAGTCTATCCAGATTTTTCTATATGTATTTTCATATTTTCCTGTATCTTAATGTGGTAATTTTTATTTCTTTATTTTTATTTATTTTTGTTCATTATTTATTCATTTTATTACTTATTTTATTAAGTACCTATTTTGATTTTGATCTTAAATAGGTCCAACTAAATTCTTTTTCGTAAGCCCCAGATTTATACTAAGTTTAACGAAGTAGACTGTTTATGTTTAAGATAGGAAGGGTTTTTTGTGTAATTCAATGGAATAATGCGTACAGCCATAATCTCTTCTTTTCAATACTTATCTAAGATTTTGAAAAAACATTGAAGTCTACTTCAGTTTCATCGCTATCTGCATTGTTTACGTACAGAAATGCAAACGAAAACGAGATATATAACGGAAAGAGACAGTTATTTTCAAAATTCTTGTCATCATGTCGTCGAAACAAATTAATAGTGGCATTCGAAAACCCGAGGAAAATGGAGAAGAAAGTTCGGTCGTCCGGGCGTCGCACCGCGGAGAAATCCAGTGTCGTCGGTCGGACGGAGTTGCGTTGCGACCCGATGCGATGCAATGCGATACGATGCGACGAATGTATAACGGGCGTCCGAGAGATGCGTCTCGCTCGCGCGGCTCAGAAGAGCACAGCTGCCAGTGGACACCGTTGCCACCACGCACAGCGTCCGTCTGCTTCTCAGGCCAGCCCCCCTCTCACACTCACTCTCTCTCTTAATCTCTCTCTCAACATTTCTCTCAATCTCTCTCAATAATAATAATAATAATAATAATAATAATAATAATAAT